GGACAAAATTAATAGCCCCTTTAAGCTATATTATTTTCTCGATAATCTACAGAACAAAAAAACACTGTTATACAATAACTTGCCTAATTACCCTAACCTGCCTAGTTAACCTAATTAACAGTGAAGCCTTTAAATGTCAATTTAAGCTGTATAGAAGTATCTTGAAAAATATCTAGTCAAATATTATTTACTGTTATTATGGCAAATATAAAATAAACCAGTGATTAGAAATGAGTTATTAAAACTATTATGTTTCTAAATGTGTTGAAAAAAATCTCTACGTTAAACAGAAATTGGGGGAAAAAAACAAGCGGTTTAATTATTCAGGAGGGCTAATAATTCTAACTTCAACTGTATTTACGCAGGGGATGCCCTTCCAGTTGCAACCCAGCAGTGGGAAACATCCATACACTCTCATTCTCAAAAATACATAGACAATTTAGCCTACCCGATTCACTATACCACGTCATTGGACTGTGAGGGAAAACGGATTACCCGGAGGAAACCCAGGCAAACACAGGGAGAACATGCAAACTCCACACAGGAACACCAACTGACCCAGCCGAGGCTCAAATCAGCGACCCTCTTGCTGTGAGGCAAACGTAAGCCCACAACTCGTTTCTAATAACTGATTTATTTTATCTTTGTCATGATGACAGTAAATAATATTTTACAAGACACTTCTATACAGCTTTAAGTGACATTTAAACACACACACACACACGCGCACACACACACACGCGCACACACACACGCGCACACACACACACACATACATACATACATATATACATACATACATACATACATACATACATACATACATACATACATACATACATACATACATACATACATACATACATACATACATACATACATACATACATACATACATATATATATATATATATATATATATATATATATATATATATATATATATATATATATATATATATAGTACACACACACACACACACACACACATATATATATATATACTGAAATGGACATACTTATTAAAGGAAGAAAAGTTTAAAGGGCACATAGAGGGCACCCAAAGGGCACCCTTTTTTCAAATTTAATATAATTTTTTTGTGTCCCCAGAATGTGTCTGTAAAGTTTTAGCTCAAAACACCCATCAGAGTATTTATTATACTGTAGCTGTTTTAAGTGTCTGTATTATAGCTGAGAAAAGGTTGCTGTTTTTTTTGCACTGGGCCTTTAAGGCTAGTTCTCCCCGCCCACCGTTCCTACATGCCTGTCAGCAACATGCCTCAATCGCTGCCTCAGGAAGCAGATCTCACGTAACGTTTGTGAGAAATACTAGAACTTTACCAATCAGCATTTGATACACTTTTTGTGGAGTTGCAACAATGAGTCACACACAATGTCATTACAAAGTTCACGCACACACACAGCGAAGACACACACACATAGCGCAGACACATACACACACATAGCACAGACACACACACACACACACACACACACACACACACACACACATAGCGCAGACACACACACACACACACACACACACACACACACACATAGCGAAGACACACACAAACACACACACACACTGAAAACCGCTCCATTTACTCAACCGTTTTTACGTTGTTAAATTTGAAAAAAAAAAAATAGTGTGTGTTTATATCACCCCAATATGACATATACACTATACTTACACACGTCTGTCCAAACAGCTTTAAAAGTAGATTTTTCACCATAGGTGCCCTTTAAAAAAATATAATAAACATAAATAAATATTATTTAGTTTTAAGATACTAGTATTCAGCTTAAAGTGCAATTTAAAGGCTTTAATGGGTTAATTAGGCAAGTTATAGTAATTAGGCAAGTCCTTGTAAAATGATGGTTTGTGATGTAGACATTAAAAAATGCTTAAGAAAGCTAATAATATTGACCTTATAATTATTAAAAAATATATTTTATTCTAGCTGAAATAAAACTTTAAAACTGAAATAAAAGAGGAAGAAAAAAATATTATAGGAAATACAGTGAACATCTACTCTAACTCTGTTAAACATAATAAAAAAATAAAAAACACAGGAGGGCTAATAATTTTGACTTTAACTATATATGGTGTGTATGTATATAAATTTATATATGATGTGTGTATGTATTATGTATATATGCTCATTCATTTTGCCATTTAATACTTATATGGCCAACTTTTCCAGCACGTTTTTACACAACGGATGCCCTTCCAGCCGCAACCCATCACTGGGAAACATCCACACACACTCATTCACACTAATAAACTACGGACAATTTAGCCAATTCACCTGCACTGCATGTCTTTGGACAGTGAGGGAAACCGGAGCACCCTGAGGAAACTGCGCGGATGCAGGGAGAACATGCACACTCCACACAGAACACCAACTGACCCAGCCAAGGCTCGAACCAGCGACCTTCTTGCTGTGAGATGACAGCCACTGCGTCCCTATCTATTAAATCAGTTAACTGAATTGTCAGAATTTTATCTGGCCCTTAAAAGAACATTCCATTTATTATTAATATTTTATAATAGGCTGATTAGTGGAGGATATCTATAAGCAAGAGTATTGTAAACTGTTTAAGAGACTGAATTCAAATGAAGCTAATTGTGATTGCTCATCTTTCAGAAAACATACTGTGCATGCTTTCTGCCAAGCAAGCTGGAATGCACATACTTTGAACTTTAAATGACAAGAGCGTTAAAGAAAATCAAAACCAACGCTCATCTTGCCTCATGCGGCACATTACAAACTTATTTGTTTATTCTTTTCGCAATACACTGACTGGATTTCTCTCAACATCTGTGCCGTAGGACAGGCACATCAGTGTGGTCTTTGATCCACCTCATATAGCACATCAAAGAAGGGCTCAAATGAAAAGCTGTATTTGCCATCCCCACCTTGGCTCTTTCTAGCTCAGAGAGAGTCAGAATCTATTGAATGCACTCTCATCTACAGCACTTATCCACGGCGACACTTATCCTCAAACTGCATGCTATACATACAATAGACAACTTGCATGTCAAATTTAAGCAATTCGGTTCTACAAAGACAGTAGAACGTGTAGATCTGCATCCTATATGTAGATGAAAATAAAAAAGATGCAAAGTTAAATACAATATTTTTTATGACCTTGATATTAGATAATATTTTCATAGTGGTTATGCTTGAAATGTACAGTACATATCTGATTCAGTTCTACATTAAATCATTGCACATATGTGCATAGTTGACTTTTACATTCATGCATTTGGCAGATGCTTTTATTAAAAGCAACTTATATTGCATTCAAGGTAAAATATTTTTTATCCATTAATGCATTCTTAGGGAATCACCTTATGTGCCACAGGCTTGAATGCTGAGATGTTCATCCTAAGCTCACTAAGGGCATTTATTGGATTAAAATGCTTGAAATGCATCACTTAAATTTATGAAACAGAAACATTTTTTTTCAGATTCCTTAATAGAAAGCTCAAAAGAACACAATTTACCTAATATAGGAATGTTTAATGTTTTATGTTTAATGTTTAATGTTTTAACTATAAACTTGAAAGTATGCAGAATTTATGCAATTTTTATATATAATTTAAAAAATGAATGTTGGAGGAATATCACAAAAAATGTCAACAATATTTTTTTCAATATTTAAAAAGAATTTATTACCTCTATATTGCCTACCTAGAAAATAATTAATACTATTACAACTGCTACTACTACAACCACTACTACTACTAACTACTACTAATAATACTAATAAAAACAATATATAATAATAATAATCATCATAGAAATTATAATAAAATAATAATAATAATAAACTGTATTATAACACAAAACAGTAAAACTGTCATATTTTAATGCATAAAATAATAGTAATATTTTGATAATTTGTAATGTTTGTAATTTCCCTAAAGGCATTAACCTTTTACTACACTTTTTGTAAGCAGAGATAAAATTAAAGTATATTAAATAAATCTTGAATGTAGAGTTTGCAAATTGTATGCAATTTGGTTATGCTAAAAAAATAAATAAATGTTGGAGAAATATCACAAAAAAGTCGTTTTATATATTTTTTCTATATTTAAAAATGATTTTTAACTCTATATTACATGCTTATAAAACTACTACAACTTCTACTACAACCACTAATAATAATAATAATAATAATAATAATAATAATAATAATAATAATAATAATAAACTGTATGGGGCGACGCAGGGGCGCAGTAGGTAGAGCTGTCGCCTAACAGCAAGAAGGTCGCTGGTTCGATCCTCGGCTCAGTTGGCGTTTCTGTGTGGAGTTTGCATGTTCTCCCTGCGTTCGCGTGGGTTTCCTCCGGGTGCTCCGGTTTCCCCCACAGTCTAAAGACATGCGGTACAGGTGAATTGGGTAGGCTAAATTGTCTGTAGTGTATGAGTAATTTAATTATTAAAATAATAGTAACAGTAATTACTTTTAAAAAATAGTGCAGTTTAAGCAGGAAGGTTATGAGAATATTTGTAATTTCCCTAAAGGCATTAACCTTCCTGCTTAAACTGCACTATTTTTAAAAGAGATAAAATTAATGTATATTAAATAAATAAACAAACAAACAAATAAATAAATAAATAAATAAATGAATAAATAAATATAAACTATATAATTATATTTGTGCTTATGTTAGTAATAAAAATAAATGCAAATGACTGCAAAAGTGTTGTTTTGCCCCTGCAAAAACAATGTTAGGCTGATTTTAGGACTTCCTGCTCTTTACTAATATTTTAGTCCAAGATTTTAATTCTTGAAAGTCATCATGCCTGCTGTGTTAAACCCAATGTCCTCATTTCAATGCCCTGGTCTGTAGCCAGCGCTGCTCTCCCTCTCTCCCTCCCCCAGTCAACTCCATCCCCAATCACAATCTTATGAATGGCAGCCAATCAGAGCCTGCTCCCCTCTGCAAACTGCATCCTTGTCCAGCAGAGCAAGAAAGAAAGGATAGAGCTGGGGAGAGTGAGAGAGAGAGAGAAGGCTTTATGTGTGCGTGTCTCTGTGAGAGAGAGAGAGAAAGAGAGAGAGAGAGAGCAAGAGAGAGAAAGAGAGAGAGAGAAAGAGAGAGAGAGGCAGCTGGAGTCTCACACAACTGTAGTCAGTCTTGGAATCCGAGCGCTGCCAAGAGGCGAACACTGAAGCCAGCGCTGCACTTCCATGAGGATGACATGCTCTCAGAAGAGCACAGGACGCTGATTTGTTAAGGTAAGAGCTTTACGCTTCTTACTCTTCAGATAACGGCAACTAATCTACAGTAAATAGCATGGGAAATGCATGCTGGACTAGTTTGAAATTGTCTGAAACAGTCGAAACTCACATCCGAAGCTAAATACTTTTGGATGCTTTCATCTCCATGCACGGAATTTGTATTTTTTTTTTCTTTCCTCCTCAAAGCCCCCCCACCCCCATGGTATCAACCTCAACAACCTCATCACGGATAGGATTTTTTAATGTAATAGACTGGAATGGCTTTTCGACCCTCTGTCATAATGCCACTGACTTGTCAGATCATATAATCTGACATGGAATGCCAGTCATCTGCTATTTCTTTTTGGACTTTTCTATACATCTGTCTGTCTGACTGTCTGTCTATCTATCTACAGAACAGACAGAAATAAGTAATATATGCATGATTCTGCATTACTGAAGTTTGCTATAATTAATTGGACTATAAAAGCACAAGAAAGATAAATTGTTCTTAATACTATTATTATTATTGTTGTTATTTATTTATTAATAACAAATGTAAATAATAATTTAAATGTATTTATAAAGTATTTATTTATTTATTACATTTTTGCAGTATATATATATATATATATATATATATATATATATATATATATATATATATATATATATATATATATATATATACACACACACACACACACACATACATACATACATACATACATACATACATTTAAAGTATAATACTGCTAAAACAAGTCATATATCATGAATAAATAATTAGAGAAAGAAAAAAAATAGTCACATGTAATGAATATATTTGTTTAAAAAAGATGACATTCTTCAAACTAAGCTATCTCTAGATAAACTTTGCCACCCACAGGAGTCATGACTGCAGCTGAAGTTTCCAATATCCTCCCTCGATCCCTCTGCGTTTAATCGCCCCGTCGCTTTTTTCAAGGAGGTGTGCACACGTGTTTAGAGGTCTGCGCGCGCGTTTGATCCTTGACATAAAACATATCACAGACAACGAAGGGAAATTGCTTTCATGCACCACTGTCTCTGTTTGTGATCCTTAACCCGAGGTTTTAGCTAAAGCGGTGCAGATTCTGAAGCATGTTGGCAAAGCTCTAACACTAAACCTGCATAAACATCGCTGTCTTTGATGGTGTTCATGTAGGATGGATAGAGCATGTTCAGCTTTTCATTTTAATTGTGTTTGTACCACTCGCCACTTTGAAAATCAAATGCAGTGAACGATCTCCAGTTAGGACTGCTTCTTGTCTGTGCGCACATCTAAAAGCGCCTTTAATATTGACCATTTTTAGCTCAGTTTTGATCAGATTTTCCTTCTGAGCTCAAGCCAATACATGCAGACTGTGATTTATACATCTGACGTGAGCACATAATGGCATGACTGTTTCGCACAAATTAAAGCGCACACTTCCTCTGAGCCACTGTCACATGTATAATTGCCTTTCAACACAGAGATAAATCATGAGATAAAGCCCCACATGCTTCCTTTCTCTCTCTCTCTCTCTCTCTCTCTCTCTCTCTCTCCTGATATCATCTCTCTCGATTTCTTTCTCCTCGAAATGCGAGGCAATTTGCTTCATTACGAGGTGAAAGATCTGACCAATGTATTTCTTTTCTAAAAGCTACTGTACTGTAATATCACGTACACCGCGACCTAAGGAAGTGACCTATGAAATGCATTTTAGGGGGTCAAGGACTGTTCGTCTAGCAGGAGTGCCATCTCTAGTATCAGCGCCTGTGTACCTCGCAGCCTTCCCTTCCTCTTTGCCCTTCTCTGACAACACACATAATTTTTTTAATCAGACAAGACCTCCGTGGGCTCCATCCGAAGCTCACTTTTGAATTCATTAGATCCTCAGAGCCACACGGAATCAGAGAAAAGTGTTCTGTCTAATAACTCGGCCTGTAAATGATTGCCTTGAGTCTGTGAACCTGGCAGAATCAAAGCCGGTCCTCCAGGCAGGCAATCAACATGGTGCATATCTGATCTGTACCAAAGTTTCAAAACAAAGAAGACAGGGCATTAATATTGCAAGGGAGAGGCCAGCTGTGGGAGCCGTCCAGCATGAGGGATGGAGTGATGGGGAGATTCATGCAGGGAACGGAGGAGAGAAAAAGGTCTTGGGCTCCCCCAAGTGGTAACTGTTGCATCTGTGGCAGCTTGTTGTTGGCGTGAGAGTCTTCGGTGGAGAAGATGTAAATGTTTCTGCTTAAACAGGTGGAGCAATCTACGAGATTTAGGCTGCCTTGCGTAAGGCAAGGACAGTCATGGGCATAGAGATTTGCATTGGATTTGCATATGCGCCGGAATACGGGAGAAATGAGTTAAAAACAAGGTATTTTGTGTCAGTGGGGAGCGCAGATTCAGCTCCATGATACAAGGACTTTAGCGCACTTGACTCTGAGCTGCGGGCATTAATGCTAATTCTCTAATTAATAGGTGATATACGGCACGTCCCGAGAGTGTATCTAATGCCCATCTCTCGCTTTCCCCGGCCAAATCACTGACCACTTATACCTTAAAATTCATGAGATGTCAAAGGCTGCTTATTATGCGGCGCACATCTAGGATTAATATTCTAATAAGGTTCATGGAAAGAGTTTAAATTATAACGGCTGCATTTAATCATAATAATAATCAAAGTGGAGAACATGTTACAAAACAGAGATGCTTTTTATGCCAGCCGGGGGGTACGTTTGGAAATTAACAAGGAAATGCACAGCACTTTATTAGATGATTTTAAGCAGTCAAAAAGATGTTTGCACAACCACATCGGTACTGTTATCATGCCGAATGATGAAGGGGATGTGTAAATTTACACACTTTCAGTAGCAAAACTTGAGAGCTTGTAAATCTGAATGTGAGAGCTTGCTATGTTAATATTTGTATTTGTTAGTTGAAATGTACACTCACAGCTCTGATGTGAAAGCTTAATCTCTTGATTTGCACACACAAACAATAATCAAAACACAAGTGTTTTGAATTTGAAGATATGAATGTGTCAAATGTCATTCAAAAACAAAATGACAGACACAATTATTTTTATTTTTTATGCTTTAGCTTTTTTATCAGTTGTGCTGTACAACCACAAGTTGGCACAAACAACCTCTGAGGTCTGACAATATTAGTTCAAGTTTTGACTTTTCCAGCTGCAAAACACACTTGTGCATGAAAAGGTGGAGCCATTATATTGGCCAATGCTTATCAATAGGGGAATTACCAACCTAAGTCACATATGACGTCACACGGGTTTCACTTGCGCAAATCAGTTGCAAAAAAAGGCTGCCATCAGAAAACTGAATGGAGTGACTAATTAAAAATGCTTGATTCTGCAGTTCTCAATTTATATCAGCTAAGTTCACGCTATGCTGAATCGTTCACATTACTTGTATTTGATTGCAGTAATCATTTCAGCAAAAACAGTTTAAATATGGTTAATGAAACTGCCGACACTAAACACTGAACAAATCTGAGTTCACACATCCTGCTGTACAGGTGCAGTTCGCTGTCAGAATGCAGTTGTTTTGCTTGTTGATGATTACCCAGGCCTTGTACAGTTCCATCTTCCTTCCTTGTCTTTGGCAAGGCAGACCCTCGGTTTTTAGCACTACAAAGTTTTGAATCTGGTAATCATGGAACATTATTTCTTGCACATGACGACACAGAACTAAATTGTTTAACTTTAACTTCTCTCTTGTAAAATCACTTGCAGTTTCATTAAGATATTTTGGGCTTGGTCATTTCATCTTATCCAACATCCATTGGGGGTGTGTTATCGCAAATGGACCTGTCAGACGAACGCAGCTCACTTTGACGTTAATTTTGCCGAATAACTGTGCTTATCACAGTGCTGGGTGACAAGCTGTTATAATACGCTGAAAGCATTATGTAAATAATATATATAATATGTAATTAATATAACTTATACAACAGCAAACTCTGTACCGCATTGGATGTCATTCGCTCACTCTGCAACCTCGATGCACACACATCCTGAATGTTTACAAACCGGAAATTAGCCTAATGACTAACTTAGCGCACCATAGAAATATTGTAAGAATATGTATTCACTTAGATTTTTTTTTTTTTTGTCTTTAAATTTCATTAACTTTACAATATTTTTCTGTAATTAATTCCTTATTATCATTTTATTTATTATTTATGAATAAGCGGGAAAGTAATTTTGCTGGTTGGAGCCAAAAAGTGACATCACTAATGTACACATCGCAGCTGGCATCGTTTTGGTGGTTTCTCACCTGGTAGCCCTACAGCGTTTATTGTCCCGCACGTGGTACTGCAAAATTGCCCTCCACTTCACACATCTTTGCTTTAATTGTTGTTAACCACAAAAAAAAAAATGCAGTTTGATCCATCCCACTGCACTGTGTACTTTATTTTTAACAAATATGCAAAATACACCTCTTTTAATCTCAGTCTTGTAGGATTGGTAGTGTTATCTGGACGGCTAAGTTAGTTGAAATGACAAAGACGTAAAAACAACAGATGCTTTAAGAAAAGGCTTGCTACAGCTAGATTTATAACATCAATCAACACAGAATATACTTACAGGGTATTGCTCTCGATGACAAGAAGTCCAAATATTAAAGTCGAAGTTCCCAAACGTTAGGACAATGTTGAAATGCCACGTTGCCACGCCATGCGTCGTCTCTCTCGAATATTCTTCCGCTACCATCATTTACCAATAGGTGGCGATTGGATTATACAGATTATAAAGTACACTTTATATTGCTGTTTATTATCATTTAACTGTGTTTTATTTTCAAATCTATTCAAATGTATTTGTTGTCTATTAAAATCATGACCAAATTTTAAAAATATATATTTCCACAGTTTTAAAAAAGTAAAATATCAATGTAAAACATATTTAATAAAGTTTTGCTAAGTCACGTGCTGACTGGAGTTGTTCATTGGTCAGACTTTAGCCAATAAAATGGCCTTCATCTCTTCCTCAGCC